ATTGTGGCCAGCAACGTTACAAACGTTTGATAGCCTGGCCAATCCAGAAATATTGGTACAATAGAAGATTTGCAATGTAATGGTTTAAATAATATTGTAACACAACATTATTTAATTACGAAAGGTGTTCAGTTTCGACAAATTTTTGATGGAGTTTCACGAGTCTGTCGACGATTAGTTCTTCAATTTCGACATTATTCTGCTTCTGCTCGTCATTCAGTCGTATCTCTTCGTTTTGATCGCTATCAACGAAAACGACACGTTCTTTGCGAGTATTCAAGATATTGCCAATCACTAACTGAAGATTTATAATGATTATATTCATATATTGATCTGTTCAAATACCAATGTATTCCATTTGAAATATTCACATGTACGGATAATGACGCGCTGCGTTCAGGAAGAACATCAAGTTAATAGTTGTCGCACATAGAAATTATTTTCAGGAAATGATAATGCGATGATTTTCAGCGTAATTACTCCACTGATCGTATAAGCTGCTAACTGATACGATGGTTTGGAGCCATACAGTGAGATAAGATGAAAATGCAAGCGAATTACTGCAAACCAACCCTATGTCCATATTTTTGAAGTGCATTACGTGCTTTCTCAATCAAGATTGACTCATCGGTTTCCAGCTGTAAAATTAATCAAGTTCCTAATAGATTACATCAGAACTGCTAATCAAAATTAATATTTCAATTCAGGCAATCCACTAAAATATGAAACAAGAAATGGGGCAAACAAACTTTGAAGGAAATGATGAACGCGTTTGGTACAATTTCATGAACAAGTTTATTCAACAACTTCGGTACAATACTCAGTGTTAACTGAAGATCACCATCCGTTGAATGAATTTTGTGAGTTGGCTGAAAATTATTCTAACAATAGGGAATTCATCGTCTTCGTGAATTCGAAACAGAAATTTTAGTAAGAACTAATAAGAAATGAATTGATGCAAGTAATCCATAAAGAATAATGGCTTTTGCAAGTACCATCGGTTTATATATACTCTGATGCATATGGAAGATTTGCGAGTGCAATCAATTGAATAAAATACATTCAGTTGAATCGAAAGCAATAAAATTAAGTTGACTAAACGCAAAAGAATGCACCATTTTATCTTGCTGAATGTAAAAATCCGAGACGGCAGCTGCCAAATAAATTAGAACCGATGAAGCGAGCGGTCGTAAATGAGTGCAAATCGTTTCGAGTGTTGTCAAGTAACGATTCACATCATTGAACGGTATATAAAGAAGACGATCTCTGCATGCCGAATATCTTTGCACGGCTGTGCTCAAGCCTTTCATCTCTTTCACTGAAACACAAAAAATTCACAGCAAAAATATATTTTATAAAATAGCAAACTAGAACATCAAGCAAATACGAACATATCGTTCATTATTGCAACGATTCTTATTTGCAGTATCAACATTATTGCCAATACTATTGTCCAGAACACAAATACATATTCGATACGAATCCAAAACGAAAACAACAGCAAAGTCAACGGAACAATCCACGACAAAAAAATTCACCACAAACTTGTCCACTATTGTTCACCTCTAAATTCTCGAATAAATGTGGAAATTTACGACTGAACGGCATTAACGATTCATCACGATAGAAGAAGATCACCGCATATCCTTTCGCCAAAAAATACCTGCAGTGATTACTTCATTTCTGCAAAATTTTCAAAACAGTTTCATTTTCCGTGAAAAATGTTTCTATAAGCTGTTCACGATCATTCTTTAAAATGATAAAACCGTCGTCGCTCAACTCAATCCAATAATTTTCAATTGTGATGAACAATGCACTTGTCATTTCTTTATTGATGAGTGCTAAATGCATGAATCTGTTGAAGAGCGATCACAGACACTCACTCAGCACTCGCCGATCCTCTCGTTCCCATCGAAAAGTTATCAATAAATCGCAC